ATCCTTGATTGATTAGTTTTCTACGGTTTATCGAAACCTTGCATGTTATTTAATACCAGAAAACATTTCTAGAATGTACGAATTTTTTTCAGATGATAATGGATTTGTAATACAAGTCTTAGAGATTAACCCATAGATGGAGGAGAAAAAGTGGATTCGAACCGTTCCCAAGAGTATTTACACTTAAGTGAATATAACGAACGCAACAGGATTTGTAACTCAGCTCTCCGATTAAAATTTCCAAGCGATTATCTATTCACCATCCGCACATCCAAGCTTATACCACCTGTAATTCCCAAGCGGTCACCCATCTAGGTACTGACCAGACCCGAAGTTGCTAAACTTCGTTGATCGTACGAGAAGATAATAGATATATAATTGTATTATAATACATATATTATAATAATATCTTGTATTATTATAATGTATATTATAATATATATTATAATAGATAATATATATATAATATATAAGATATATAATATAATACGACAGACACTGAGGAAAATATGAACGGAAATTGGGGGCGTCTAGCATGAAATAGCCTGTCGCCTCTAAGTTTTGAGTTCAATGTTCACACACATATATATATATATATATATATATATATATATATATATATATATTTATGCTCTACTTTTGTATCGAGGACTATTTTTTAGAAATAATAACAAAAAATACTAAAGAACTTTGGATTATTTACCTAACTAGTTCTTTCCTATTTTCTATATATTTTTCACACACACACACACATTTATTTATATATATATATATATATATATATATATATATATATATATATATATAACGATAGATAACTTTTAGATATCTAGAACAATATTGTGAAAAAAATAAATGACAAATTAGAAAAGGTTTTTAAAAATTTAATAACTTTGAATTCCCATTTAAAAAAAAAGTAAAATATTTTTTAATCTTAAAATTCAGTCGAATGAAGTTCTTATGGACAAAATATGTCACACAAAACCTTTTTTTCTCCTTATGATACATTTTCTCATATCTATCTATCTATCTATCTATCTATCTATATATATATATATATATATATATATATATATATATATATATATATATATATATAATAAGCCCCCCAGAACAGATGGAGTGAAAATCCACAGTTCGTAACATTTGCTTTTTTAAAAAGTACTCAATACAAATTAGAGCTAAATATAAGGTTGGTGCATAATTATCAGGCGCTTTTCAAATAATATTTATCATGAGAAAAGAAACATAATAATTTCAACATTTTAAACATTATTTTTTTCATTTTTATAACCTAAATATGAAATGAAATCATTTTTGTTAACAAATAATCGCCTGAAACTGATAAAGCACCAATCAATATTAGAATATTCTTTTTTATTTGAAACATGTTTTAATAAATCATTTTTCACAAATCAAAGACGAAGTACAATCATAGTATTGAAACATGAAAGCGATGTAAAATGTTTTTATTATAATCTTTTATAATAATAATAATAATAATATTAATATATATATATATATATATATATATATATATATATGAAATGGACAAAGTCCGACAATTATTTTTAAGACATTTTTATGTTTATACATTATTTTTATAGATACAAGTATTTAAGTAAATGCTCTGTTTATAATAAACAGTATTAAACAACATTTACCGGCCTGAATGTCCAAGAATTTTTCATAGAAAAATATTTAATAAATATTTGAATCTATAAATCTTTTGAATCTATAAAAAGAATGTATAAACATAAAAAAATTTATATATATATATATATATATATATATATATATATATATATATATATATATATATATATATACATATATATATATATATATATATATATATATATATATATATATATATATATATATATATATATATATATATATATATATATATATATATATATATATATATATATATATAAACAAAATTATAATATAAGTTTACTTCTGTATGGAGCACTGTCTTTTTTAAAAATAAAACAAAAATACTAAGGAACTCCGGATTATGCACCCAACGTGTTCTTTTTCTATTTTCTACACACACACACACACACACACACATATATATATATATGTATGTATGCACGTATGTGTTAGTATGTGTTTTATGTATGTGTGTGTGCGATTATGCATGGAGGCTTATAAATAAGAACACTTGCATAGTCCATAATTATTCATATAATACAATTTTTACGGAACGTCTTTGTTTTCGGTCATAATTGCACGTTTCTACCCAAATGCTCGATGATAAGTCGATATTTATTCAGCCTGGTTGACTTGTGATCTTTTTCAAGAATACAATTTTCTTTACTTTACAATTTTTAGGGTCTGAACGCATCGAATGAATATCGAATTTCTTCTTGCATGCAAAATGTCGCTTTACAATAACGTTTGCCATTTGTCATCTTCTAACCTTTCGCGATTTGCTATCGAGCGAGATTTGCATGGACGTAATTCATGAGACTGGGCGGAGATTATGAGTCAGGCTGTTCGAAAGATGAAGAAAAGCTCCTTGACATAAACGATGTCTGACTTCATTTGGCTTTACTGTTTTTTTTTTCATTTACTATTGACTTCAGATTTATAAATATTGGCATTAATGAAACTTTCAAGTTATTTCTTAACGGATTTGAAATGTACGAAAATGGAGCAGTAATTCTGTAACTTGATACGTACATATTAGCTGATACTTACCTGGCACAGGTATCCGTCCCTGTGCTGGTGGTATCACGGCTACGACTAGCTTGGACCGGCTCTGACCAGCGTGGACCAGCTATGACAAGTCAAGACTAGCTATGGTTGGCTTAGACCAGATCTGATCAGCTTGGACAAGCTATGACCAGCTAAGACCAGCTTGGACTAGCGGCTCGAGTGAAAACACTCTGACCCCACGTTAAAAACTGACTTTGTGTCATAAACTCAGTGAGGGGTCAAGTAAATCTCTCTGTACTTATTAGCTGGCATTTCATTGTTGAAACCATCTGAGGAGAGGACCGAACGACTACACAATGATTCGTCCATGAAACTCTGGACAAGAGGTGCTGAAGACAACATCAATCAGATAAGTGACAAATGTTATATTTTTATGTTCAATCGATGAGCCGAGTTCAAATCCCAAACCTTACGTTCACTTATGCGCCAATATCCTTGGGAAAAGTATGAACCCATCTCTTCTCTCCCAGATCTTAGTTCAATAGCAGGATGCCATAGCTTTGATTGACAAAGAAACAAGAAACCAATTGACGGAAAACTTCTGCCTATCCTACACGCAAACATCAATCTGCCACTGAGTGGCATGCCACTCAGTGGCATGCTACTGGCGTTTACCACTGGTGGCCCACTCTCGGCAATGTAACCACTGGCGGACCGCTAGAGGCCCAACGGTGGCTGCTACCATAGGCCAGCTGGAGTTGCCATCGGTAATCCGTATAGTGATCCGAATAGAGAAATAGTATAGTGAACAATGTAGAGGATAACGGTCCGTATAGTATAGAGGATAGAATAGAAATGACGATCCGAATAGTAATAAAGGATAGACTAGAAATGCAGATCAATTAGACGTCGGCCACTTGCTACATATATGCGTTTCCTCTATGATCACGTGATCCACTTAATTCCATAATGGGATCGCCTGTGTTTGCTCATTAGCGATCTAAATAAAATGTCGCTGTCGACACTTGAGTTTGTTCAAACTCAAGTGTCGACAGCAACACTTTATTCCTATATAACAGGTAGCCATTTATGAGATATGATCGCCCAAGCGTATATCACATAAGGAACTAAACTAACTGATATATATATATATATATATATATATATATATATATATATATATATATATATAAGATTATATATATATTTATAAGTATTTATAGTCGTCTAGAAAAACCTATAGGTGTTTTGGTTTGTAAATGAACAAACAAATGCCAAAGAAAAATAAGGGATAAAAATAGAAAGAACTAAGAACAGGAAATTGAGACGAAAACAATCGACCAGAATCCAAGCTCAGAGTCCAAAGAAAAAATTCTCCAACACGAGTAAGACAAAAGTAACTAAGCAAAGTGTTCACTACACTAAGTCGAGCAAATCTAACTATGAACCTAAAGAGCCAGGCAAACCATTTACGTTTCACCTACGCGGATCGTCAATCGTCAGCGTACCCTGACGATCTGCGTAGGTGAAAAGGTAGGTTTGCCTCGCTTTTATATATATATATATATATATATATATATATATATATATATGGAATATTATAAAAATATAATTTTAAGATATGCTCTATTTATGGGTAAAAGTGCTTTTTCCCCCCTTGAGTCTTTGGGGGTGATCGCACTTAACCCATGTCCTCGTATTCGACCTTGCCGCCAAATGTGACCCAACCAGGATTTTAGAACTCCTGATGGCATCGTTCCCAATGTCACTGCACCACGCAAGCCCTTCCACTACGACCAGGAAATTACCATCAGAGGTACGCATATAGAAACATACATGCATAGACACACATATATATTTTATACTGGTTGTCGGAGTAAACATTTAGTCATTCGATGCTGTCCTTTCTTCCGAACCAACGCTGTGGAAAGTTTTGTTTAAGGTAGTCAATGACTGCGAAAGTATAATATGGAATACTGGTTTGCAATTCTGATTTGGATACATTAGGTCTAAGACGTAAAACAAATATTGAAATAACTATAAGCCTTTTTGTCCATTATTTTCTTTGGTACCTTTGTGTGTGTTCCAGTGCATTATTTGTATTTTACATGTTTTTATCTGTACGTTGGTTAAACTGAAGGCAAATTTAAATGCATTTCTCGAAACCGCGACGAATTCTAAATGGCTTTCTAGAATGCTCTTTGAATGTATAAAATGGCGAATTTTAATAGCATTTATTCATTATTATTCATTCTTTTCTTTTTTTAAACTGATTGCTGATATTATCCCCAATCATGAACTGAATAATATATACTGTGGACTCTTTAACGATGTCTCGCCACGTACGATTTTGATACGCTAACATTGAGTGACTTAATTCCATCTCCTTTTCCGGTTCGTTAAACCTCACCTGAGTTAACGTAATAGAGTTTTCCCGGCCGTAAACAAATCAGTGAAATTTACTTAATGTCTTCCTTTTTAATCCAGAGAAAATTGGATGAAATTCTATTATATTCCTATAAAGCCGAGGACATAAACACTAACATTAATGTCTGAGGCTTTATTAAGATTGCATTAACAGTTAGACAAGTCATTTCCTTCCAGACACAGACTTGTATCGGGGAAGGTTTGACGTAATGACTATCGATACAGAAAGTGGAACTGGTGAGCCCAGTTCAAATTCCAGCCCGGCTGTTTGCTGACGTTTCACAGTCTTACCCTTGGGAATATGGAATCATCTGTTTCCCCCAGAAGCTGACTGGTAAATACAATGACGGCTGGTTAGTCTTGTCCGGGCCGTCTTGGAGAAAAATTACTCTGAATAGGCAACCAATCAAAAGAGGAAAGAGGTCTCTCCGGCTATCTTTTCCAAGACGTACTCATTGCCATACATGTGACATATCGTGGGTTATAGGAATTTATTCATGTTTACTGCTGTTTAATATGCAAGTTATGCAACGGATAACGGCTTGGAAACAGAAATTGAAGAACAGGGTTCGACTTCCGGCAATGATCGTTATATTTATTTTCATACAAATGTCAACTATAATATGAGCTGTTTCCTTTTACTGAAATATCTGGCTTTCATTGACCGATCTTTTTTCAGGAAAATACGTTTCTCAAATCCATTAGTTCTTTCCAGTATTCATGGCGACTTCCTTCCTGGACGTTATTTCCCTTAGTGTGGAATGTTAGCATTTTGATTATGACATTTTCTCTTTGATTTCCATGAGGTTTGCTTTGTTTTACGGCATATCAACCACAACGGCTTATTTAATGCCGACAATTTGTATAATGGTAATATTCTTTTTACTTCAAAAATGTACTACTGGTAATTTTTTTTTTCAAAAGTGTATTGCTGGTAATATTTTTTCTTTAAAGATTTATTGCTGATAATATTTTTTTATAAAGAATTTCAGGGATTAAAGTTATTTTTAGACTTTCATAGTGTTTTGACCCCAGTTTCGGGGTTAAACTATTTGCCCATAGCTGGGACCCAAACAGGTGCTACCACCCTGGGTCAGGGTGGACCTGGGAACACCAGCAATTAAGAGGTGGTTCCACGCACCTCAAAATCTCCTGACCAGAGGCCTTGCTGTTGGACGTAGTTTATCGTCTTACCCAGGGCACGGATGTAGTTTATCGTCTTACCCAGGACACGGATGTAGTTTATCGTCTTACCCAGGACGCGGACGTAGTTTATCGTATTACCCAGGACGCGGATGCAGTTTATCGTCTTACCCAGGACGCGGACGTAGTTTATCGTCTTACCCAGGACGGGATTTCTTTGAGGATAAGGATGATGATAGAATATTCTGAACAGAAGAAATCCTCTTAGCTTCAAAAAGGCTGAAGCCGTGTGACAGTTGATGCCATTGGCTCAATGAACATGTGTCGTGTCCCCTCATGGTGTAGACGATCAAGGCCCTCAACAACTTCCTGCTCTTAATAAGTATTGTCTTTTTTGCTAGTTCTCCTAAACACTCTTTCGCCATCCATTTACTCAAGCTCGCTGTTATGTATTGTTTCTTCTGTACTTCATGCGTTCAATCTATCCTGTGTGTATCAAATTTTCCAAGCCTTCTTTCCTCATTATGTAACCTAGAAACCTCAACTGTCTCTTTCTGATGTTAAATATAAGTTTTCTTTTTTCTTTCATTTTCTCCAAAACTTTGTCGTTGCTCACATGTTCAGTCCATGGTATCCTCAGCATCCTTCTGTAGAACCACATTTCTTTTGCTTCATATCTCTTCCTCATCTCTGAGGAGATTGTCCAGCGTTCATGGCCGTACAGGAGGACAGATATCACGTAACAGATTAGTACTATTCTCCTTGTTTCTAGCGAAGATTTTCTATTTCTTAGTATTCTGCTTAGCTTTTGGAAGGCATCTTTGGCTATCCCACTACGTCTTCGAATTTCAATGTCACACTTTCCGTCCTCTGTTCAAACATTTCCCAGATATTTAAATTTTTGTGCTTGTTTGATTTTGTACACTATTTACATTATTCGGACTATGGTCCTCATCTTTGTCGCCATATTTATTACAACGTTTCGGCCTTCTTCAGGTGGTTGGAATGTCGAACTGAACCCTTTATTTCGCTCACTGGGGTAGACTGTTCTAGTTCCACGCGCCATGTTTAATGGATGTCAGTTATCAGTTATCTCCTGTTAATTCCCTTTCTCCAAGTTCTCCACCGCCTTAACCGGATATTGAACTCACATTATTTGGGTCCTGTAACTGGATCTAACTAACGCCTTTTATTCACTGTGCCATGTGAATCGTGGAATATGACCTCGCCTTGGACATAGTGGATCCGGTCCGTTTGAAT